ATAATTATATGTTTTTGTAAAATATTAAGCAAGTAATTTAGTATATATATATATATAATATTTAAAATTCAATTGTATGGACGTGCTTTTGTCGTGAAAATAAAAAGTCGAAATAAATGAAGGAAAAATATAGTAAAATAATAGGTATTTGATGTATATATGAAATTATTAATGGCAAATATAAATGCATAGACATTTACCATCGAAATATTTATTGGCTTGAAAAAGAAAAACTTTTTTAAAACGTCTTTTTACTCATTGAGGTAATTAAATTTTTTATAATGCCATAAAGAAGTGTGTAATTTGAGGTTAAAGTAAATCTGCCTTAGCGAGTGGCCTGCGAAGTCCCCCGGTCACGGTGTGCTTCATGAAAAGCTGCAGTGATGCTCACAATCCTATAAGAGATTAATGAATGTGTGTGTTTTATACTTAAAATAAGTTTTTTAAAATATACATTTAGTAAATAAACGCGCATATTATTATTTAATAAATACAGAGCTAAACTGTATGGATGCCAAAAAGAATGTCAATGTTCCTCAACTTGTAATTAGATTGGCAAGAGTAAAATTTTAAAAAGTTCTATTAAAATCTGTTCAATTTTTTTAAAAGATATAATTTACATAAATATATAACGAAAAAGCCAGGAAGACAAAACTACAAAAATTAGTAAATACGACGATTTTATTCATATTGGATAATATAATCATGGAAAATACTGGAGTTAAGATCTTTTATCATGGGGCAATTAAGAAAATGGACCCTACGAACAAAAATTTGGTGATTTTTCATTGAGATCTGCAAAGTGAAAATTTACGTTATTTTGATCAGTTCCAGTGATTGTTTGGTGTTAAAAATGGTAAGATGCCTAAATTAACCAGGATCATAGTAAACAGTAGCCGTTTCGGTTCAATAATGTTCCAAAGCAACAGTAAAAACAAACGAGAATTCCCAATAAAAACATAGCACTGCAGATCGCATAGGTTTGGTTGAATTGAAATAAGAAAATTATCGAAACTGTCAGTTCCAATCCAATAGGTGACGGAATAAATGCAGCTATCGTGGAAAAGCGGCGTGCATTAGTGATTATAAGTGGAGTCCTTTTTCTCCATGACAACGCAAGGCCGCATATTTCGTAGATGACGCGGCAAAAATTGCTGCACTTGGGCCGCCTGGGACGTGCTAACTCACCCTTCACCTTCATAGGATATAACCTTCAGATTAGCATCTTTTTCTGTAAATGCAAAATTGTTTAAATAACAGTACATTATGGGAGTGTATAAATGAAATGTATTGATCAAAATATGAAAAATAGCTGTCTGGGAAAAGTTAGAAACTATTTTCTTATCAATATTTTTTCTGATAAACAAGTAAATATCAGTAAATATTCTATTTTATGTATATATATCATCAGTAGTTTAATTTACATTTCTCATTCACTCTTGCACGCACTCACTCACTCACTCTCTCTCTCTCTCTCTCTCTCTCTTTCTCTCTCTCTTTCTTTCCTTCTATATTCCCCTTGTTCTTTCTCTTTTCTTGTCTATTTATATATTTATCAATCTATTTATCTACAATATCTTCATGTTATGTATGCCAAATGAACGTTATGTTTTTCTGTGTGGTGATTAGTAACCGGTATTCGATGTTTATTCGGAAATCTTGAGATGCGGTATGGTGAGATGTAGGTTTCAGAAAAACATGTAAAAATGTGTCCTACATCACACCAGACCGCATCATATTTCCGAATAATCATCGTTCTTTTTTTCTTTATCCCTCTGCTGCAATCTGTACATTTTTCTTTATACATATTTACTATATATATAAATCGATTTACCTATCTATCTCTTTTTATTTTGCTTGATTCAATTTATTTATATACCGCTTTATCTGTCTTCTTTTCCAACTTTCGCTCTCTCTTTCTCTCTATCTCTCTCTCTCTTTCTCACTCTCCTCTCTCTCACTCTCTATCTATTTATGTCATATCTCTTGCTCTCTCCTTCTATATTCCCCTTGTTCCCTTTCTTACCTATTTACCTTTTCATCCATCTATCTAAATACAATATATTCATATTATGTACGCGAAATGAACGTTCTTATTTTCTTTATCCCTCTTCTGAAATCTTTACATTTTTCTTTATATGAAGCCAACTCCTTATACAAAAATGTCTTTCTATACCGACTTCCTTCCCCACCCCTTCAAAATCCAACGTATATAAACATAAAACATCAATATCTCACTGGCACTCTCAACANTTTCGATTTTAGTTCGGCTGTATTTTCTTCAACTACTGTTAATGATTTATTAAATTCCTCAATGAGTTCATTGATTATTGAATATTGCAAATTTATTTGTTTTTCAAAACTAATTTGACTATCTTGTAGATTTTCAATATCTTTATTAAATTGAGCTCCATCATAAGAATCTAGATTACCTGTAATAGATTTTATGATGGATCCTAATCCATTAATCAAACCTCTTTTAGTTCTAATATTGTTAGTATGTTGTACAAACACTATTTCTAACTTTTCTAATATTATTCCTCTAGTATTATTTATTAGTGCTAAATAAGTTACAATGTCTCTTAATTTTCTACCATTATCAGTTACATATTCTACATTATTTTTATAGCTAATATTCTTATTATTAATACAGATATATACTTCATCATAAATTTTATCTAAGTTGTGTAATTGTTGAAACAATAGGTCAAATTTAATATAATGAATGAAAGTATGTTTTGTCGTTTCCAACCTGGCTGGACCAAGATTTACAGGAATTATGCCAATGCCGTTTGTAATATCAACTATGTTGATTCCTCTGGTTGTGGTCCAAAAGAGCAGTGGGAAGAACCTGTTATCAGTATTAGAGTCTTTATCAACTAGTTTTTTATCGCTACATAGATTGTTTACTATACTAAAATACATGTCGTCAATATAATTTAATTTAAGTAAAATTTAATCAATCTTAAAATAATATGTGTTCTGACTTTTGCATTCTAGCTTCCCACAGTTTGATTGGTATCATTCCAGGATTAGTTGTTATGACTTTAATATCAATTCCATTCAAGAGTCCAAAGTGTTGGAAGTACTTGGAACATCAAGATTGTAGGTCTGGTTTCTTGGTCTTTTAATATTTGAAATGTGTATTTTATCCTGAGTGTTTTTGTGTGTAGGAACAATTCTGGCTGTTTTTAGTTTTGGGTTTATAGATTTTATCTTTGCTGGTTTAAATTTTGTAAGTGTCTTACTTTGTTTTTGTTTTAAGTCGATATCAAATGGATTACTCTTGTCGATGTGACCGTATATAACATCAAAAGGAGAAAATTTCGTAGATGAATGCAATGTGTTGTTATAAGCCAATATGGCATATTTTACCTTAGTTTTGATGGGATCGTTTTTGAAAAGTGGTTGATTGTTAAATAGACGAATATGTTCAATTAGGGTGCTGTGAAATCTTTCAATTGGGCCGTTTGATTCTGGGTGCTGTGTGGATGTAAAATGCAGATCAATTTTATGAAGGTTCAAAATATCTTTTACCACAGTATTATTAAATTCTAGACCATTGTCCACTGTTATTTGTGCGGGAATTGGGTGATGAGTCATATATTGCACCAATTTGTCGGCTATTTCCAAGCCTTGTCCTGAATTTAATGGATAAGCTTGAGCGTATTTTGAAAATACATCAATTAAAGTTAAAAACTTTGTGTTCTCAAGGGTGATGGTGTCTAAATGTAAAATTTCAAAAGGTGCGCTAGGTGTAGGTGTTATATTTAGCTCTAGGTTAAGTGGGACTCTATCATATTTTGAAGTAAGGCAGATTTTACATTGATTAATAAAGGATTGTATGGCGTTTTTCATATTCGGCCAGTAATATCTTTGTCGAATTCTATTGTAGGTTTCATCGACACCTCTGTGGTTTCTCTTTCCAGTATGATAGTTTTCTATTACTTCCAAAATTTCGTCTGGTTCAACTACGTCAATAAGCTTTTCCGTACATCTAATAAAATTTATTTCCGAGTGTTTAAAATAGGTCATTATAAAATTCGTAAATTCCTCATAAATTTCGTTCTCAAAATACAAATAATATTTAATTTTAGGTACTATGAATGTTTTTACAAAATCAACAATATCCTGCTCAAAGTTATTTTTTGAAATTTCTATAGTAATCCTCTGTTTTGATTCGAACAATTTAGTAATTCTTGGTTTTTTCGGATTAAAATTTACTTCGGATATTATTATTTGATTTTTTCCCATATTTACAGGTCCTTCTAGAATTGGGATAGAAACCATGGAATTTCCCTCGTAGTTAGAATAGAGTGTGGCGGTTTCGTCTTCGGGCGAGTCGCGGTTTTCTTGATCGTCTACATTTACTGCTACCGATTCTTTACCGTCATCAAAAACGTCTAAGTTTATGATCGAATCGTTCCTATTATTTGATGCCATTTCTACTGGTACGTTTTCAAAACATTCAGGGTGGGTTTCACAAAACTCCTTGAGAAGTCTGTCGATTTCCTCATCGCCTGTCTCCGTTTTGTCGATTTCATTATTATGGAGTTCTATGCGAGATAGAGCATCCGTTACTGTTTTCCCTATTTTCTTCAATATTCATATGATCGGTTCTAATAACCGCATTATCATTTGTTTCGAGACCGTTTAAGTAGAAATTGTTTTCTTTATCGGGCTGTGTTCCTTCCAAATTTTCGAAGGGCACCACCTCGTAATCGTTTACGCTTTCTACAATGAATGGTCTTTTTATTTCTCTTTCGTGATTTTTAACTTTAATCAAGCAATCGGGAATATTTGTTCCCAGTAAAGATTGACTAGGTCGAACGGCCTTGCCGTCACTAATATTATCAACTTTTATTTTCATAATATTTTCCGAGCGCGCCTCTGATGTGAAGAGGTGCGTTGGATTTATCTTTGACGAGTCAACAGATGTTAAATCTTCCTCTGCTCGTCTTTCTTTATCAGTTTCGTAGTATTGTACGCGGTAACTTTTTTTTGCTACTGTTATTACGTTCTTATTAAAATCTAATTAAATATTTAATATTTTCATACTATCTAGCCCGAATAGCATGTCGAATTTATTGTGGAAGTTGAATAAGAATAATTCTAATGTCAAGAATTTTCCTTTAAAAGTATCGGTATTAAGTTTAATGCTGTGGCTCCCTTTACTAATTCCATGAACTGTTTTTACTTCGAATTGGTTTTTTATTAAGGGAGTATTAAAATTATCTTTAGCAAATTTAGGATTGATGAACGATCTGGTGCTACCCGTATCTATTAAAATTTTTGATTTCGTCATTGGATCTATGAAATGCGGTAGCCGATTGTTCGAATCGGACAGATTCATTAATCCTTTCCCTTCGGGATTTACTCCTAAAAAATGCCGTGTGTTTGACTGATTTTCGAGGGTTGTCTTTAAATTTTGCGCGTAATAATTTTGTAGACTTGACTTTGATTTAGGGGATCTATTTTGATCCTCATTTGTTGTTATTTGGTGCAGGTGTGAGTTTTTTGAAATTTGTGGTGTGGACCGCGAGTGTGTTGTGGAAATACTCATCGGTGTTGGGTTTCCTTGTTGGTAGTTCCTTTCGTTAGGGAATACAAAATTTTGTCGTGGGTAATGTTTTTGTGGTGACGAAAATGGTGGATGTTGTGGATATCTGAACGGTCTAGGTGTATACGCTTTTGTGTTCCTTACCTGTCCAAAACTTTTGGATACTTGAGTGGATTGGTGCTGAAAATCATTAGTAAGCATATTGAGCGCTTCGTTAAGATCTGAGGGGTTTCTAGCTTGCAAAAGAGAACTCATGGGCTCTCTTAATCCCTTTAATAAAATCCTTAAACCTAATTTCCTACAGAACTCACCCAGAGTGTCAGCATCGTCCGGCATTACATTATTGAGATAACTAATTTGTAAATTTAAAAGTTTTTGAATCTTTTCAAGAAATTGAAACGGACTCTCGTTAGTTTGTTTTAATTCCGAAAGTTCAAGGACTAGGGTGTAAATGTCTCTTTTGTCTGAGTAACTGGTTAACAATGCATTTTTTATTTCAGGCCAACTACTTGCGCCTGAGTTGAAGACATTTCCGCCGCCGGTCCCTGAATTTTCGAATTGATACTTGCTAATAAATACTCATTTTGAAAATCTCCCGGATTCGTCAGTATGTAAAATTTGTCAACTAATTTTTGACAAATACCAATGAACCTTTGCTAACGCTTCAGGCTCGCCATTAAAATTGGGTATCATGTTGAGATACTCGCTTTTTAACGTTTCTGGAAACAAGGGATTCATGATTTTATGAAATTCTGTACTAATTGTATGTGGCTTATGTTTGATTTTACAAGATTTTTCAACTCCTTTTTTAACTTCAAATTTACGTAAAAACTGTTTTCTTAAATCTTTTATAAGACCTATTTTGTTGGTGGCAATGGCAAAATTTATAAAAGTTTTTTAATCAACTCACAGTACTAGGTGACACGCTTCCTGTGAATTCCTGTGTAGAGTCTCTTCGATTGACGGTCCTTGCGGTAAACAATTGAATTGAAGAAAATTATATTCCCTAATTTTCTCCGCAGGTGTCCTACCGACTGCGCCAGTTATGGTTTCGATGTAAGAAACTAATTTTTTTTAAAAATAACGTTTGTTCAATATAAACTACGACTTTCCACGAGGATTCTATTTTAAAGTGTCTATACTGTTCGGAGTCCCGAATGGATCTGTGAAAAAGGGGGTCATACAATATAATCTACATTTTATGCTTATAATATATTCTCTGAATTTGTATAGGGGAAGAATCATTTGTTGCTGAATTAGTGGTTTCGTGCAGGCGTAACTTATATATATAAATATAAATATATATATATATTGTATGTGGAATGAGTAAAGTGTAGATGGACAAATAATTAGATTAATTAAAAGATATATTGATATTTGGATAGAACAGCGAAATAATTAAGTAAAAATAGAAGCAAATTAATTTTTTTTCTAATATTTAATGTACTGTCTTGTAGTATTGTACTTCCCAGGGAATTTATCCGAGCTGAGCAATGAAGCACCACGTCTCACTTCGTTTAAGATTTTAACAACCTGTTAGAGTTTCCCGAAGTAATAAACCTGTCAAATTAGACGGTTGTTGGCCGTTATCATAGGATTTATTTTACGCGCGATAAATAAAATAATGAAACGATCTTTTTTCCATTTTTTGGACGGGAAAATTTTTCTTTTTCATGTTCAAGTCTCGAGCCGGGATTGGTTTTCTTTTCCGAAGAATTTCCACTCAGATGTATTCCAATTTTACGTCAATTTCAGGAAGACAATACAAAAAAGAAAAGAAGAAAGAAAATGTATGGGGCGTATTGTCCCAAATGGCTTTCTCTCTGATAAAATTGAACAAATCCTATTGAATCATTGAAAGATTTTGTCTTTAGACGGAATATTTCTTGTCTTGTATGCGTCTTTAAATTTTAGACTCTCCGCAGGAAAAAAGGTAGTGTTATAAAGCTCGTTCATTTTATGTAAATGTTAATTTTTTAAAATTTGTTTACTTTTATTGAGAGCATTGGAAGTTGTTTTAAAAAAGACTGAGTGCTTCTTTTCCATTTTTAAAAACCTTATTACAGACCCTTTTCTCTCTCAAATAAACCGATCTCTTACAAAAATTGAAGTTACGAAGGATCGCTTTTTTTATTTATTTCATACTTCAAACTCTCACCCCTCGTAATTATATTTCTCAAGCATTTCTTTTTTGCGCACAGGATCCAGGAAAAAAGAGTAATAAGAATTATAATAAAAAAATAGTAATTTCCTACAGCCCATGGTAAAAAGTTTGAATAGTATTTTTTTTACCCTTAAAAGACCTGAAAGTTTGTTAAGTCGACCAAATAAATATTCCGAGTCGTAGATATATAATAATTTAATTGACAAAAAACTTCGATACCAAACATGAGGCGATAACGATTCGTTAAAACCTTTCTTAATGAAACGGAACCGTTGAACTTCAACAATTCAGACATAATATAATGAATTTTCCCTTATTAAAAAAGTTTTCCGGGGGTGGTGAAATGTTTGCCTTCTCAGACACTTTATTACGACCACACGGATCTATGAACAGAAAAAGAAAACAAAATTATTATAGATTAAATTTCAGAATTGTTTATCCTTGTATACTTATCGTGACTTCGATCCACTCGGACACTAACTTCCCATCTCAACTGCACCTTTTGAATTTTCCCTCCTGTTTGCCATTTTTCCCTCTCGTGACACTGACTTTTTTATCTCAATTAAAAACCTTAATTAATTTAAAGATATTAATTGGTCAAGCGGACCACGAAAACCACTGAACTTATTTTTTGAGTTTACATGCAACAGCTACTTGTCCATAGGCCTCGATTTCCCCAGAATCATATTGTGTAAAAAAACTGTTCTGTACAGCTTTAAAAAAATTAAATTTGGAGGGAGCAAATAAAAAACGAAACGTATCAATGCATGAAATGGACGAAAAAGCGATAACTCGGATCAGAGAACAAAAAATCACGAATAATCATAATCACTACATTTAACAAATAATTTTTTTGACCAAAGACTTTTCGTAATAATAATTGCCCACCTCCCTTTCATATTAACTGATGCTTTATTGAAAAGCGTATTAACCAGGTCGACGTTTGATCTGGAAAATCACAATGGTAATTTTCCATTTGGCCTTTACCCTACGGTTAATCTAGTCGCAGATCAAGGGTTCTCTACAGAAATTGGTTGTTACACTAAAATTAAACTGTTTAACGCGATAATATGTCATGGACAAGCATGAAACAATTAATTTGACAAATAATTCATTAGTTAAGTTTATATTTGAAGTATGAATAATGAATGAATAACAAAATATTTTCTTCTCTAGGATTATATTTAATATGTAAAATGTTACTACATGTCAAAATGTTGTGAATTTTGTAACTTTTGCGACTGTTGTAAAAGCCCTGGGTTTAGAAATGGCCAAAATGAGAGAAGGGCCGAACCGGAAATTAAAGAAAAGAGTGAATAAGTTATTTTCGAATTCGATTCCAACTTTTATGTATTCGTCGTGTCGATTTTTTATTAAATTGTCAAATTTCAAATATAAGTGTGGCAGGACAATAAAATCGGGTTGGAGTAGAAACAGTTAAAAACAATGTTTCTCGCTTATTATTTTTTTAAAAAGCTTCCAAGCTCCGAACGTTAAGCATTGACGAATGATGAATGACATGAACAAAAAAAAAACCTTGGCAATTTGCATATTAAAAACGTACATTATTAGCCAAGGAGAATTAAGAAAAAAGCCCTGTCGGCCAAACGACTACTTATTTTTTTCTTCATTGCACCGGAAGAAATAAAATTAATTAGTCTAAAGAACCAGAAGGGGAATGGTTTAAACAGAACCAAGTCCATTAATATTTATAAAGCCAATTATTGTTATATTATGCATTGCATGAAAATATGAGGATTATTTAAAAAACCTTTTATATTATTTTTTTATTTTAATTTTTTTTTAAAAGTGAAACTTCCGGCGGATTGCTTCTGGTGAAATATAAAATAACGATCCTTGTCGGTCGTCCACCTTTTTTCGAAGGGTCACCTATGCACATCTATCAGTAGCAATATAACTTCACCGAAGAATCGTGATAATATTAATCCATCAACTATTTATACATTTTTGTCTGAGGACCGATAGGAAAAATAATAAAACCAGAAAGACGACAAAGTTAGAATTTGTATTTTACGACATAGGGAAGTCGATTTCTTTTGTGAAAACAAAAATCCCATAAAATTTTGTCGCACAACGCTAAGACCTGGTAATAAAATATGGTTTAAAAAAATTAACTTAAAAACATCATTAAAACCGTTAAATAGTCAGTGTGTCACAATAGATCATTACTGATCGCGTACATACACAGGTCGTAAAGAGCTCCTATATAATCTAATCTAGTCAGTTAACTGGCGAAAAATACCGTGTCGTTTAAAATCACTAAACATGATCAAACTTTACACCAAAATTGTACAGAATATTGCGAAGATTTGAAATTTTTATGTTAAAAAAAGCATATTCTACAACCCACAGATAAAAGTCAGTTGAAACATCAACTCTTCTTCTTCGACTCGTACAACCTTCGGTTGGACACTTTTTATCGTGTATTTATGGCTCCGATGAGGGAAAAACGCCAATTTTTACACGAGACCGGTTGATCAGGCATTCCTCTAAGAATTCGCCCTGAGAGGGCCAGAAAGTAAAAGGACGGTGGACTTCAGGAATGCCGGATCTGAGGCCATTAGTACGGAACGATCAAATTTCGAGGATTATGCTATATTATTTTTCCCCCCTTGTTTTCTTCCAGGCGCACTCTTTCGGTCTGTCAAATTTGTTCTCTTAGTATTGTTTCCTTTTTTCTGTCTGTATGATTTCATGAGTTCATTACTGAATCGATCGCGTTTCTATGTTTTGTTTTCTTCACAATTTTACGACACATTATTTTCTTCCGGTTTTACGCAATTACTATAGCTTATCAATTTTTCATTGTTTATTAAAAAAAACTATTTGCCTGTTTAAAAAGCTACATTTTTTTCTAAGAAATGTTTTAAAAAAGCCTCAGCTTTTTTAGAATCCTTACGCTATTTTTGTTTAAATCTGGCAATTTAAATTTTAAATTAATCCACATTTTTAGTAAATGTTAAAATAAGCTCCAGCTTTTTGTAAGCAATTCCCATTTTTAAAATGAAATGGTAATGTAAAGCCTCAGGATTTTAGAACCCTCACTCTATTTTGGTTTAAATTTTTTTTTGACATAGATCCTCAGCTATTTTTCAAGCGATCCCAAGCTAGTTTTTTTAAGCAATGTTAAAATCAGCATCAGCTTTTTTTTAGAATCCTTACACTATTTTTGTTTAAGTTTGATCATTTAAATTTTAAATTAATCCACTTTTTTAATAAATGTTAAAATAAGCCTCTTTTTGTAAGCAATCCCCATTTTTAAAACGAAACGTTAAAGTAAGGCCTCAGATGTTTAGAATCCTCACGCTTTTTCGGTTTAAATTTTTTTAACATAGAGCCTCAGCTGTTTTTCTAGCAATCCCAAGCTATTTTTTTTGCTAAAGAAATGTCAAAATAAACCTCAGCTTTTTATAAGCAATCCTCATTTTTAAAACGAAATGTTAAAGTAAAGACTCAGCTTTTTAGAACCCTCACGGTAGTTTTGTTTAAATTGTTTTTTTAACATAGA